TAATAATAATAATAATAATAATAATAATAATCTTTCAATTTATTGATCGCTCAATCCTTGCAGAGCTCTGAGCGATTTACAGTTGCTCATTTCACAAGGGCGTCCCCTGATAGGGGTAAGGGAGGACAACACATATAATCTTTACATAGCACACATTTTGCAGCCGACGGGGATTAGTTCAGCTGAAACTCAGACGTGATCCGGACGGCATTTTCCCCATTCGGCTTGGCTTGGCTGGATTACGTCAGCTCTTCCTCTCTAGGACTCTTCGGGTCGCAGCTCCATACTGCCACCGCCAGGCCGGAATGGCCCATTACAGGCTTCTTGATGCCAAAGAGATCTTCTAGGCTTTTTTTGATCTTGTGAGCCGAACCTTCCGTTCGCCAGCTAACACCAAGTGTGCCCACCGTCTCTATGTTATGTTGACATCAAGGCCAGGGCTTCCAAAGAGGCTCTCAGCAGTTGCTATTCAGCGTGACAGTCTCACCTAGCGGTGTCAGGAGGTTTTCCCCACGGGAGATCCCGGGTTCATCCCAATGCAGCAAGCTCCACTTAAAAGTCCCCGGAGATGCCTTCCCAGTCAGAGGGGATCGTCGTGAGTTATAAGAAGGGCCTGACTGAGGGGGGAAGGCGGGCGGTTTGTCTCTTGAACACCAGGAGTTTCCCTCAGCGTGGGGCACAGCACAGCTCTGGATGTTTCCCGCCTGGAATCCCCACGGGGTCCTCTGGGGGGGGGGAACTTGGCCCGAAAGGGGTGTTTCTCCGGGGGACTTGACGACTGATTTCCTCCTTCTCTTTCCAGTTCCGCTTTGGGAGCAGCGGAGGGGAGAAGGGGCCGGCGGTGTCCGCCCAGGAAGCCCAAGCTCAGGCCATCTTGCAGCAGGCCCGGGTGAGTCTAACGGCGGTGGGGGGAGATGGGGGCCCCCCCACCTGTTCAGCAGCTTTGATTCCCGACACGGAGGTTCACCCCTGAGAGTCCCGACTGAAGCGGGGCCTTCCGGATCTCCCTCTGTGCCTGCCTCCACTGCTGCGCCTCCCGCATCTCTCTTGGGCTCAGGGAGAGCCCTGGGTGTAGATGAGAAAAGCTCCTTGCCTGGGTCAAGGTGGGTCGCCACCAGTGTTCCCTCTAAGCTGAGTTAGGGTGAGCCAGCCCACAGTTTTTTAGCCTCCGGCTCACACCTTTTTGTCTCCGCTCAGGAAGGAGGGCTCCAGAGCAAACTAGGTTAAGCAGCAGCCCAATCGCTCGCTCACAACTTTGATGCCAGTCGCTCACCAAGTAGAATTCTTGCTCACAAGACTCCACAGCTTAGAGGGAGCATCGGTCGCCACTTCCGTCTGTCTGCAGCAGGAGAGAAGAGCCCCTTCCAGGAGCCCCTTCAAAACCAACAACATCGCTGGCAGGGGAGGGGCCGGCGGGAGTCACGGCTCGGCTCGCCCTGAAGGCAGGGCTTTTTTTGTAGAAAAAGCCCAGCAGGAACTCATTAGCATAATAGGCCACACCCAATAGCAGAAACCCGTTAGCATATTAGGCCACACCCCCGTGCCTTCCCTTGGCTTGCCTGGGCACCCTGTGGTTGCAGGGAGCCCAGGCAAGCACCCCGTGGCTGTGGGGCACCCTTGGACAGGCCAGGGATGGCACGGGGAGGCATTTGAGGTTTAAGGTTCGCTATCCCTGGGCTAGTTCCTGGATTTAGGTGAGCTATTGTTCTAGAGGAGTAAGCTCAGCCCATTCTAGGTACAGCTAGAGCAATGATGGCGAACCTTTTAGAGACCGAGTGCCCAAACTGCGACCCAAAACCCACTTATTTGTCGCAAAGTGCCAACACGGCAATTTAACCTGAATACTGAGGTTTTCTGCGGTGCTCAAGCGGTTAAGACACTGAACAGCAGGCTGTGGAAGGTCGGTAGTTCAGCAGTTCGGGACCCGGGTGCCGCAAGACGGAGTGAGCTCCCGTCCGTAGCTCCAGCTCCTGCCAACCTAGCAGTTCGAAAGCAAGAAATTGCAAGTAGATAAATAGGTACCACTTCGGTGGGAAGGGAACAGCATTCCGTGCGCCTTGGTGTTTAGTCATGCCGGCCACATGACCACGGAAATGTCTTCGGACAGTGCTGGCTCCTCGGCTTTGAAACGGAGATGAGCACCGCAACCCCAGAGTCGGATTCGACTGGCTTTCGAGCAGGGGAACCTTTACCTTTACCTTTACTGAGGTTTTACTTTAGAAAAAAACAACTCATACATTAACTTAAGATGATCCAAACAAAGTAAGGAAAGCGATCCCAAATGCTTTCGTTTACTTAAAATTATTTGGCAGAGAATTCGACACTTTAATACTGGTCTGGGCCTGGCTGGGGCGATGGCACGCGTGCCCACAGAGAGGGCTCTGAGTGCCACCTCTGGCACCCGTGCCATAGGTTCACCACCACTGAGCTAGAGGAAAGGCTTGGGCTCAATACATGACACTGGCACAATCTGGCCTGGAGGAAAATTACGAAGAAGAGGAGTTGGTTTTATACCCCGCCCTTCACTACCCGAAGGAGTCTCACAGCGGCTTACAAACTCCGTTCCCCTCCCCACAACAGACACCCTGTGAGGTAGGCGGGGCTGAGAGAGCTCTGAGAGAGCTTGTGACTGACCCAAGGTCACCCAGCTGGCTTCATGTGGAGGAGTGGGGAGTCGAACCCTGTTCTCCAGATTGGAGTCCTGCTGCTCTTAACCACTACACCAAACCGGCTCACCAAATTACCTCACATTTATAAAAAAGAGAAAGAGAAGAGGGACCCCGTTGCATGCCCAGCCCCATCCTGGGTATTTCTGCAGAGAATTCTGCTCCCACTCCGATCGCTGGTGATTCCCCCTGTAATCCACAGGGAAGACGGTTGTGGCTTTAGCCCATTCTCAGGGGTACCAGCAGGTACTTGCACACGATCCCTCCCTGCAGCCGTGTGACTTCCTGCACCTTTCCCCGTTCATTCTCTCCTGGCCCTGCGCCCACCTCTCCCCGTTCTTGCCAGAAGCGCTCTTGACCCGGTGAATAAATTACCTCCCGCTCTCTTCTCTGTCTCTGTTCCCTCTCCGTGTCTTGGATCGCTCAACAAAATGACTCCGGCAAGCGAGACTCCGCTTAGCGTCTGGTGGCGTCTCCTTGTTCGTTAGGCAGCCATTCAGCTCTTTACAGGACAGGCAGAAATCTGAAACTCCCATCTGCAGTGCAGGCATGACCCCCTTCATTTGAGACAGAAACCCCCACAGGGACTCACTTCACAGTTCGGAGCACGGAAGAAGGGTGTGCTTTTCTGTCCCCGCAGAAAGGGGGGGGAGAAGCTGCCATTTTAAATCCAGAAAGGAAAGGACAGTTTCCTCTCTATTTTTTTTTAATATTTGTTTTTATTAATTTTCAACAGCGTAAACACAACAGAATTAGACAGAAAGAGCAATTACCGGCTCAATTAAACAGCTTTTCTTACATAACTCCCACAGTATCACAGGTGTGGAGAAATCAACATTAGGTAATGAGACAGGAAACCCAGGTCTTGATTCAGTCCAGGAGGATGCACTGTCTTCCGCTGCATTATCCGTTGCAACTCAGCAGTCTCTCTTTCTCCAGTTTCCTCTCTAGACCAAAATCCTTGTTGCCTTTGCAAGCCCCTCCAAGACCCCTCCTCAGATTCTCACTAGATCGAGACAAGCGGCAGAGCCTCTGCATTGGACAAACAGGCCAGTCCCTACGACAAAGAATAAATGGCTAGAAGTCTGACATTAGAAACCACAACATTCAAAAACCAGTGGGGGGACATTTTAACCCTCCAGGGCATTCAGTCACCGACTTACGAGTAGCAGTACTCTTTTTCAAAGGGAGATTAGACAGAGAGACTGCTGAATTGCAACTGATAATGAAGCGGAAGACAGTGCATCCTCCTGGACTGAATCAAGACCTGGGTTTCCTGTCTCATTACCTAATGCTGATTTCTCCACACCTACGGCCCCTCTGCATATCACGCCTAGTCCAATCATGCCTGCTGTTGTCATTCACCCGCTCTTGTCATTTCCCTGCTATTGTCATTCATCATCTGAAATTGTTCAAGACATGAGGACAGATGGACTCACATTCTAGCTGTATCCGAAGAAGTGAGCAGTGAGTCACGAAAGCTCATCTCCTGCCACAAATTTTGTTAGTCCTTGAGGTTCTACTGGACTATTGCTATTTTCTCCTACTGCAGACTTTGAGATTAGTGTAACTGCTGGGTGAACACTCTTTGTTTGAATCTGCACAGTAATGTATGATACAAGCTCTTGAGTGGCTGATTTTCATGCGCCCTGTCAGAGTTCCTATTGAGCACAGCAGCAGGCCAGGTGGCCTTCGCCCCCATGCCAGAAGCACTCCGTGCTGCATGACCAGTGCAGAAAAGGCAGTTTTGCCCAGGGGTCACATGCAGGTCATCCCAGTGACTGGCTTCTTTTGCGAAGTGAGGAGCTGTTTGCAGACGTGATCACAAGAACTGATCACAAGATTTGCAGGCTTCGTGGGCAGACACCAAAAGCACACAGTGACACCTAAGTAGTAAGTTTCGACTCAGAAGTCTGGAGCAAATTCCTCCCCCCTTCCTTTTAAAACTATGTGCCTTTTAAACATTGGAGGAGGCAGCAGATGAGTGGTGGATAAACCAGGTCCGCGTGGGAAGGAGAAAGGGGATCTAAAGGGGGGGGATTTTACGGGGTACAGGTTAAGGGAGTGGAGATTGTAGTATGAATGGAAGTTCTTCCTGCTCAGATGGAGGTTTCTTTTGATGACAGGCAGATCAGAGAGATCCCCCTGTCCTTTTATAAGGGTCTCCACTTTATGTGACTCTCGGATGACCCCCTTCTGTTGGAATACAAGTTACTTACTTTTCAGTCATGATACAGTTAAATGTTGTTTGTTAGGTAGACAGAATGTTACGCCATCTAATGTAGTCAATGTGGGAAAAGTTTATTTATGTCTCTCCAGCTTGAAGGTTCTTTGACAAGTTCCACAGTCGCCAAGTCTCCGTGGTGGTACGCGTTTTTGGAGTGGCTCTTGTGTTTGGAATGCATCCGTCGATATTGAAAAAGAATCCCAACATCTCTTTTTTTCTTCTTCTTTCTTTCAGCTGGCCTTGCGTGGCCCCCCAGGACCGATGGGATATACTGGCCGTTCTGGGCCCTTGGTGGGTATGAGGAGTGTTTCAGTTTAGTTCCTTGTAATTCGCCTTTGGCTGTTACAAAATTACGGAACACAAATTGCGCGCAAGCTATAGGTTGGAGTCAGAATAGACAAAAATACCAGAGATCAGTAACACAATGCGACTAATTTAACACAGTAGCCTGAATAATGCCCCTTCCTGATGCCACTTTTGAACGTGTATTCTTTGCAGCAAGGGCAAATAATGAAACTTTATAAGAGACGGATGCATCGGTGGCTCAGGTGGTTAAGGCTCTGAACTGCAGGCTGTGGAAGGTCGGTAATTCAGCAGTCCGAGACCCGAGTGTGCCGCATGACGGAGTGAACTCCCGTCTCTAGTTCCAGCTTCAGCCAACCTAGCAGTTCGAAAGCAAGAAATTGCAAGTAGATAAATAGGTACCACTTCGGTGGGAAGGGAACAGCGTTCTGTGCACCTCGGCGTTTAGTCATGCCGGCCACATGACCACGGAAATGTCTTCGGACAGTGCTGGCTCTTCGGCTTTGAAACGGAGATGAGCACCGCAACCCTAGAGTCGGATTCGACTGGCTTTCGAGCAAGGGAAACCTTTACCTTTACCTATGCATCAGTGTCAGATAACAAAAATGAGATTTCCCCCCCTCAACTGGGTAAACACTAAGACCAGATAAAATAACTGCTAAAAATTTAGCCCTCGGACTAGGATACAGTGATGTACAAGGGTGATTTCGTAGAAAAAGAGGTGCAGGAGCTCATTAGCATAGCATAACTTATTTGCATATGCCGCACCCCCTGACATCACCGGAAGGGTGTCAGAAGGCAACACCCACCACTCAGGCTCCACTGGACTGTTTTGGATTGCTAGCTATTGGGGGGGGGAACGGGCAGATCTGTTCTCGCAGAGGAGGGAGAGCTTGTACCTGAATAAAACCTGGACTGTTTTGGATTGCTAGCTATGGGGGGGCTCTGCAACTTACCTGGCTGCTTCTTGCTCTGACTGAGGGCTGCTGGGAGCAGGGGGTGGGGCTTGTTGCATGTGCCCGCCCCCTGGGCTCTTTACTGCCGGAGCTCCGCTCCTGTGCACTCCTGCAGGAAATGACCCCGGTGATGTAAATCCTCAAGTTCGTGGGTGGGTATGAAGAAGAAGAAGAAGAAGAGATTGGATTTATACCCCGCCCTTTACTACCCAAAGGTGTCTCAGAGCGGCTTACAAACTCCTTTCCCTTCCCCTCCCCCCAACAGACACCCTGTGAGGTAGGTGGGGCTGAGAGAACTCTTGACAGAAACTGCTCTTTTTCAAGAACAGCTGTGCCAGAGCTAAGGCTTGCCCAAGGTCATCCAGCCAGGTGCAAATGGAGGAGGGGGGAATCAAACCCGGTTCTCCCAGATTAGCGTCCGCGCACTTAACCACTACACCAAACTGGCTCTCGAGTGTGAGGAGTGTGTGTGGCAGTGTTGCCTCTAAGCTGAGTGAGTGTGAGCTAGCTTGCAGTTTTTTTAGCCTCCAGTTCACAGATTTTTGTCTCCGCTCAGGAAGGAGGGCTCCGCCTCCAGAGCAAACTAATTGATGCAGTAGCCAAATGGCTCGCTCACAACTTCAATGCCAGTAGCTCACAAAGTAGAGCTTTTGCTCACAAGATGCCACAGCTTAGAGGGAGCATTGGTGTGTGTGGGACTTTCCAGGAGGTCTTCGGGGGAACATGCCTACATGCGGCAGAACCTTTGACGTCTGTGTGGGGGAATGGGTTGTGTGTGTGTGTCTGCTCTCTCCCTACCAGACAGCTTTCAGCCCTCTGAGACGTGACAGCCCTGAACAGCAAACTGCCGCTCCTTCTGCACACCTGTGCAGCTGTACGGAATGTGACGGGTGTGGCCCCCCCAAAAAAAGAGTTGCCTCTGGACTGCCAAATACGGCTGTGGTGTGGAATATGCCCAGATGTCTCCTGGTCCCGGCAGCGCGGTTTCCCCTCCCCTGCCTCTGGGCGTCTTCAGTGTGGCTGCTTTGGGGTGCAGAAGGAGCTGAGCGTTCCTCAAGCAGCTCTCCTCACGGCCGGGCCTTCCAGATGTTCCTGAGGGCACAGGAGGGGCTATAGCCTCAGGATCCCTGTGGAGAATCTCTGCTGCAGGGGCAAACTGCATCTCCCCCCCCCCATTCCTAAACCTGGAAGGGGAAAACGTGACTCTTCTTTGTCGTGAGGGGGAAGCCAGGTTCCTTCCCTCCCGTGGCTTTTCTCCAAGGGAACGCCAATTTGCCGAGAAAGGCAACAGCAAAACCCAGCTCATAGCCAGTGTTCCCTCTAAGCTGAGTGAGTGTGAGCTAGCTCACAGTTTTTTAGCCTCTGGCTCACACATTTTTGTCTTCGCTCAGGAAGGATGGATGGGGCTCCAGAGCAAACTAACTGATACAACTTGAATGCCAGTAGCTCACAAAGTAGACTTTTTGCTCACAGGACTCCACAGCTTAGAGGGAACATTGCTCATAGCACCTGAAATTTATCTATTGAATAAAATTCCAAAAGGTTACGTCAAGCAAGATGTATATTTATTAGTATACATCATAACAGCTGCGAGAATACTAGTGGCTAAAAACTGGAAAACGGACAAAACACCCTCGAAAGAGGACCTAATCACAAAACTCCTTGAGTTAGCGCAAATGGACAATCTGAGTTTAATACTGCAGGATAAAGACCACAAAATACAGAATAAAAGATGGTTCAGGGTTTATAACTGGATAAAACATGTAAAAACATAATAAGAAAGGGGAAAGAGAAAATAGCTAGTCATTGATATAAGACACGTACTTGGATGTAATGACTCTAAAAACTTGTGTTGTCTGAGATAATGAAATGTCTGTAATTAGACTGAAATCATGGAAAATAAACATGGGGGGGGGAGAAAAAGACAGCTCTGAGGAGAAAGGGAGGGCATTGTGGGCAACGCCTCCCCCCCCCCATTTGTGCATCACCAGCAAGACTAGAAGTGCCCAAGCCAGTTGGTGGGAATGTCGAGGCTCTCCCCCAATCCTTATTTCCTTGGCGCCCCTGCCGACTGTGGCACGGCGCACCGCTGGACGCGGGTTCTGATCCCCGGCGTCTGATGCCAAAACTGGCTTGGGGGAGGGGGCCCACAGAGGTCGCTCACCACCATGCGTTTCTCTTCCAGGGGCAACCCGGCAACCCCGGCATAAAGGGTGAGGCTGGAGACTTTGGACCTCAGGTAAGAGGACCCTTGGGCCCCAGCGACAAACCTCCCGCCCTGGCCCTGCACCCTCCCTTTTCCCACTGCGGCCTTTGGCACGTCTCCCCAGCCCAGAACGTAAGAGCGTAAGAGAAGCCAGTGTTGGATCAGGCCAATGGCCCATCCAGCCCAACATAAGAACACCAGAGAAGCCAATGTTGGATCAGGCCAATGGCCCATCCAGCCCAACGCAAGAACACTAGAGAAGCCAATGTTGGATCAGGCAAATGGCCCATCCAGCCCAACATAAGAACACCAGGGATGCCAATGTTGGATCAGGCCAATGGCCCATCCAGCCCAACATAAGAACATCAGAGAAGCCAGTGTTGGATCAGGCCAATGGCCCATCCAGCCCAACATAAGAACACCAGAGAAGCCAATGTTGGATCAGGCCAATGGCCCATCCAGCCCAACATAAGAACACCAGGGATGCCAATGTTGGATCAGGCCAATGGCCCATCCAGCCCAACATAAGAACACCAGAGAAGCCAATGTTGGATCAGGCCAATGGCCCATCCAGCCCAACATAAGAACACCAGAGAAGCCAATGTTGGATCAGGCCAATGGCCCCTCCAGCCCAACATAAGAACACCAGAGAAGCCAATGTTGGATCAGGCCAATGGCCCCTCCAGCCCAACATAAGAACACCAGAGAAGCCAATGTTGGATCAGGCCAATGGCCCATCCAGTCCAACACTCCATGTCACTCAGTGGCCAAAAACACCAGGTGCCACCAGGAGGCCCAGTAGTGGGGCCAGGACACTAGAAGCCCTCCTATTGTTGCACCCCACCAAAGCACCAAGAATGCAGAGCATCCCTTGCCCCAAACAAAAGAACATAAGAGAAGCTGTGTTGGATCAGGCCAGAGGCCCATCCAGCTCAACACTCTGTCACACAGTGGCCAAGAATACCAGGTGCCACCAGGAGGTCCACCAGCAGGGCCAGGACACTAGAAGCCCTCCCACTGTTGCCCGCCACCAAAGCACCAAGAAGACAGAGCATCACTTGCCCCAGAGTCCCTGTCTATACCTTGTGGCTAATAGCCACCGATGCACCTCTGCTCCAGATGTTTATCCAATTCCCTCTTGAAGCTGTCCATGCTTGTAGCCGCCGCCGCCTCCTATGGCTGTGGATTCCATGTGTTGTTTTTTTACCTCTTCAATTTTTTTTTATTTTTTAGACATGACATAAACATATATGACATAAACATGACATAAACATAATCTTATCAACCCTGATAAGGTAGCTGCCACCACCTCCTGTGGCAGTGGATTCCATGTGTTCATCACTCTTTGGGTGAAGAAGGACTTCCTTTTATCCGTTCTAACCCGACCGCTCAGCAATTTCATTGAGTGCCCACGAGTTCTTGTATTGTGAGAAAGGGAGAAAAGTACCTCTTTCTCTACTTGCTCTATCCCATGAATAATCTTATCAACCCCGATAAGGTAGCCGCCACCACCTCCTGTGGCAGTGAATTCCACGTGTTAATCACGCTTTGGGTGAAGGAGGACATAATCTTATAAACCTCGATCATGTCACCCCTCAGCCATCGTTTCTCCAAGCTAAAGAGCCCCAAGCGCTGTAACCTTTCCTCATAGACCTCAGAATAAGTCTCTGCTATCTGTCTCCCTCTCTCTCTAGGGCCCGCGGGGGCCCGCAGGGCTGACCGGCCCACCAGGGAAATCAGGCCGCCGGGTAAGTTGCTCTTTGGGACTGAGGGCCGCGTGTGGAGAGCAGGCCTGAGGCCGAGGGGACGGGCTGTCTCTCATGCCTTCTCTCTGTGTGCCATCCCCTTCCCAGGGTCGAGCCGGAGCTGACGGGGGCCGGGGCATGCCTGGGGAACATGGCGTCAAGGTGAGGCAGCATCTCCTTCCTGGAGAGGCCCGAGTCCCCTTCCGGTCTCTGCTTCGCGAGGGCTCTGGGGGTGGGGGGGGCTCCCAGACGAAGAAGTCGAGGGCAGAGAGCTCACGAGGGGGGGGCACCTTTCTCCTTTTTGGGGGTCTCCGGTCCCGAGGTCAGGGCCTCAAGGTAGAAAGGCTGCGAATAAGTATTTTAAATAAGGGAATAAATGAACAAAGAGGGCCTGGCCCTTGGGTTTTCTCTCTGCAGGGCGACCGCGGCTTCGACGGACTCCCGGGCCTGCCGGGGGAAAAGGGACATCGGGTAAGTGTGGCAGACGGGGCGGGGAGGATGTCCAGAATGCCAGGGAAGGAGGGAGGGCAGGCCACAATGAAACCCCCCCCCCCAT